ACCCGTGGGTCGACGGGGAATCAAAAACAGTAACAGGGTAGTTCTCTTCATTAGGGCCCCTTTTAGGGTCCTTTGTATAAGGCTGCCGTACTATATTGGGGACCCTAATTTAGAGAACTACCCAACAGTCGCTAGACACGGGCAGCAAAAAGGAGACGACCCTTGGCCGCACGTTGGTTTGGTGGCCTCGCGCATGTCTTCATCAACAGGTTGTGTTTGAAGTCGACAAGCCAGTTGTGAAATGGAGCGACCCACAGCGGACAGAGTGCACTAAGAGAGTGCACTAAGAAAGACCGGGGCTTGCTGCTAAGCTCGAGCCTGAACCCATGAACCCCACCTTGTAGGCTTCGCTTGCCTTGGGTCTTCGCGCAACCGAAACACCCTTTCCGGGCAATGGCTTATGGTCTGGGACTCTTAAGCTTTCGATTTGGCTGAGGTTTGGGTCGAGGCCTAACGACAAGTATTCCCAATTAGGCTCCCCTCGGTCCTCTCCAGGGTTGAAGGCCGGAGGGGGCCACGCGGCCACGTAGTCCGCAAAGCTCTGATTTCTTGAGCGGTTTCTCTGGTGGTAGTGGCTCTCCTGGAGACCCCAAAACCTCAAGCCCCGCCATGAAGCTACTTCAAATCATAGTTTGGATCCCTCCATGGTTTAGGGGGCTAGTCCTGATTTAGGGGATTATGGAGCTCTTCTAGGACTCTAGGATTCGAGGTTTGAAGCCGTGGGGATCTGACCCGACTGCTTACGGCTAGGAGCCCCTACTTTCGGGCTCAGGGCTGCAAGGCTTCGGGCTCGGGGTTTAGGGTTTAGGGTTAAGGGTTTAGGGTTTAGGATTTAGGGTTTAGGGTTTAAGGTTTAGGGTTTAGGCTTTAAGGGTTTAGGGACTAGGATCTCGGGATCAGGGCTGAGAGATCCGAGCTTAAACTCCGGGAGTGCTTTTCCCGGGCTTCCTCGCTGAAGGGCACAATGGAGGACAGGTTCACAGTGCCGTTGACCAGCAAAGGCCTTAGATACCAGTTTCCAATGTGGCTTTCATGCGGGTTTAGGGTTTAGGGCTTAGGTTTCCAATGTTGTTTTCATGCGTGGCTACTCCTTTTCCCAGACCTTTGGTCTCATCGCCGACTCACCAAGCATCTCTACTTGCAGCAACAGCAACCCAATGCTTGTAGAACCAGCACGTCTCAGGGTCGGACCGCATGTGGTTGAGCACAATGTCTACGATCAGACACATGCCGCGGCCGTGCAGCGCAGCGGACAGGCGCACCAAGTCCTCCTGGCGATCTCAGCTGAGATACGCGCTTGAGGCTCAGAGTGTTAGGAATTAGGGTTTAGTGGGATTTTGCCTGCGACTGGAGCCATGTAATCGTGACCCTGTGGCCTCCAACAACAGATTTACTTGACAGAGCGTCCTTGGTACCGAAGTGCGGGTTGATCTGAAAGAGGTTCGTGGCATCGTAGCCCATAAACCTGACAAGCAACTCTGGAACATCACGACAACAGAAACCAAAACCCTAAACCCCACACCCTGAGAACCCCATGGCCTCGTGGCGGTGGTGGTGCAGAATCCTTAGGCCTTTAAGCGACCCTAGACCCTAAACCCTAAACCCAGAGCCCTAAACCCCAATCCCTAAACCCTAAACCCCTAAACCCTAAACCCTTGTTAAAGGAATGAACCAGAAGACACAAGCCCAGAAGCCCTCGACTCCGAGAGCTTTCAACTTGGCTAAAACTAGCTTACACGGCCGCTGTACATAAAAAAAGGGGTTTAGGGTTTAGGGTTTAGGGATGTTTAGGGTTTAGGGTTTAGGCTTTAGGCTTTAGGGTTTAGGGGAACCTGGACCCTGAACCCAAAACCCTACTTTCCAACACTTGAACCCTCAAAACCCGAAACCTTAAAACCCCTACACCCGAACCCTCAAAACCCTCAAAACCCTAAGCCTAAAGACCCCTACACCCTAACCCTTGAACCCTCAAAGCACGTAACCTTAAAACCCCTACACCCTAACCCTTAACACCTCAAAACACTAAACCTAAAAGCCCTACACCCTAACCCGTAAACCCTCAATACCCGAAACCTAAAAACCCTAAACCTCGCAGAATCACAAGACCGAGAGGCCCCTGGGATTGCACGGGCGGGGTGATCCAGAGGCAGTCAAAGCCCATGCCCTGTCTGAAAAAGGGGGGCGTCTTCAAACTAGGGCCTTAACTAGGGTGGCTTTTGGTTTCGGGGTCCTTATAAAATGGATGCTGCTGCTTGAAGCTGGAACTTTTGCTATCGGTATCCTTTCACTGAGGATCCTAATGTGGTTTTTTCTACATGAGGGTCCCCTCATGTTCTGAAACTCTCAGCACGATTGTGAGCTTTGGAGGCTTTGGGGCTTTAGGCTTTATAAGGACTAAGGATCGAGCGAAGGCTTCCGGTGGGCTTATTTGGAGCTGTTTAGGTCCTTGGGCAGGTTTTCTGGGGATCGCGAGAATGGTGTGATTTTCCCGAAGGCCGTTCAACCCGAGATGTGTAACTACACCAGGTGGCTTCAGTCTTGGGTTCCTGTCTTCAGAACAACTGGCATTGCACAGGAAGTGTGAGTGGAGCCGCTGCCCGTTTTGGTAAAGCACCTTTCGCGCTGGACCTGCCTGGATGTAGTCCAGGTGGTTTGTAATCCCATTGATGGTTCCACCACAGAAGCCTCCTCCAGTATTGTTGACCCAGTCGGCAGGCAGGTCGCAGAAAGTGAAGTTTGCGGCCTGCTCGCCACTGCGAGCAAAGCGATCTATGACAATGAAGTAGACGGACTTGCCGGCGAGCGAAAACCTCAGAGCGATTGCTTCAAGGTGGACCACCCCTTGGACAAGCGAAATCGAGACGCCCTGGACCTCTTTCTGCCTATTTCCATTTACCAACACCGACTTCATGGAAGAACTCACCACCACAACGACGACGACGACGACGACGACGGTGATGACGGCGCTAAAGTAACACTAGCTGTGATCATGATGGCGATAGCGATGACGATGACGATGGCGACGATGATGACGACGACGAGGAGGGTGATGATGATGATGATGATGGTGATGATGGTGATGATGGTGATGATGGTGCTGCTGATGATGATGATGATGGTGGTGATGGTGATGACGGTGACTGTGATGATGATGATGATGATGATGGCGATGAAGATGGCGATGGTGATGGTGGATTATGATGCGGAACCAACGACATAAGACATTGATATTAATACACATATATATATATATGCATGTATATACTATGGCACACGCATCCAAGACTTCCTGTACGCTGTCCGCGAACCCTAAAGCCTAGATCCCGCACCGTAGGCCCAAGACTCTAAACTGTGCCACTCTCCCCAAGACCCTAAACCCTAAATCCTTAAACCCTAAACCCTAAACCCCCAAACCCTAAACCCTAAACGCGACCCTAAGCCCTAAACCCTAAACCGGTTTAGCCGACGGGCTCGGCCCTGCCGTGGCTTCGGCTGTCTGTGCAGTGAAGCAGAAGCCAAAGGAGCCTTTCGGTTTGGGGTTCCTTTCAGGGTTCCTTTCAGGGCTCTTCAAGAGGTTCCTTTAAGGGTTTTTTACAAGGGTTCCATCGGGGTTTAGGGTTGGGGTTGAGGGCGGTTTAGGGCTTCAGAGCTTAAGAAGTATTTTGATGTTAAGGTTCGGGGACATTTCAGGGCAGTCGAGCGGAATAAACTGGAGAGAAGCTGCCACTTGCTCTTCGAAACATGTACTCAACCTTAGAAGGACTTCAAAAAGAATTCAAGGAAGAGCCCTAGAAGGTTGGCGACCCAAGCTGTTCCAACCAGGTGACAGGCAGCTGCTGCGGAGCGTGGCAGCTTTCATGGCAGTCTCCACGCAGCGCAGCAGCGCTACTTGTGTGTTTTTTTCAGCGCGGGGATCGTTCCGGGGGTTTCGGAATTTTTGGAAACTCAGGGGTTCAGTCCATCAGTTGAGGGGTTCGGGACCTAAACCCTACACCCTACTCAGGCACATGGGTGATCGGGGTTGCGAGAGGTGTGCGGTCCAAGCCTTCGGGCCATTGTTGAGGCGGCGGCAAATGGCAAAAGAAATCCAGAGCTGGCCGCAGAAGCTATGAAAGCGAGGATAACAACAACACGGCCGTGAGTAGTCAGAATGAGAACGCCATACCATTCAAGCACCAACTGCAGCAGAAGACGAGCCCCTAAACCCCAAAAGTAAATCCAAAACCGGCTCGTCTCACAGTAGACCTTCTTTGCGTTTGTCTCCGTCTCCAAGTCCGGACGCTTGGGCGTGGTGGTGAGGCCTCTCGGAGCAACTCCTCTCGACTTGTATCGAAGTGAAATCGGCGCCCTTTCAGCCGCCCTGTAGCCCTGCGCCGTACTGCCAGGGTTGACGGACGTTCGTCAGCAGATGATAACAGATCCCTGAGATTTCTGGCAACCTGAGCCCTTCAGGAGGTATTCCTAAGGGCACTGAACTGAACTGACTCGTGCTGCATCGCACACAACCTCTGCACGTTCCGAGTTTGAAACAACTACGTGAATGATCTTACACTTACGGCAAAAAATCCTACCGGGCGGGATTCATAATACTCATGGCTTTCAGGTGAACATCTCGTCTCCGAGTTGGGAGCTGGCTTTCCAAGTCAACTCTGGTGCCGCTTTGAATTGTTAAAAGTCTCGGAAAAGCACGGGCGATTGCCTCACGAGCTTTAGTTGAAGTATGGACGTATGGACCGACCCCTCAAATCATACTCTGGAAGCTTGGAGGCTACAATTTTTACCGGGGGTGCAAAGGGCTCTGCTTTTGGTCAAGCGCCTGTGGCGATGCCAGCAGGGGCACAGCAGGCAACAGTTGCCACACGTACCTTTGGGGTGCCCCATCACGTTGAACGCACGGCGGACATTGGACAGCTGCAGGGGCTTTCTTTGGTGGCAAATGTCGCGCTTTTTGCCTGGAAGTGTCAAGCATCGAATTCTGCTGGGCTGCTGGCATGTGCCAGCTAACCCTCCACGCTCTTTCGAGTCAGCTGGCGGACCTGTCGGGTGGATGCGGGTCTAAGGTTTAGAGATAAGGATCCATGACATCGAACCTCATGACCTATGACTCCTTGGGAGCCCTCCGGGGCCACCATAGGCCTTCTTCTTCCAGCCCTCGGGGTCATTCTTCAGGTGCACGGCCGCATCGATGTTGGCCGGGGAGTTCAGGTTGGGATCCAGTAGCATGGAGATGACCTTGGGCTCTTTGACTCAGGGATTGAGAGGCCTGGGTTTGCGGGGCTCGCTGAGAGTGGAGGGCAGCTCTGTTCTCCGGGTCGAAACGCGAACGTCAGGGGCGGAAGAGATAGTTATCATGTCCCCTTATCGTAGGCCCCTGCAGGTTTAGGGTTTAGGGTTAAGTGCCCTTTATCAGAGCCCGTTCCTTGCTTACGGAGCCCACAGAGCTGAGTCATGGAGTTGGCCACTGGCAGGCCCCTTTTTCGATAATGGTGCCGCCTCCTTCTGGTTTCGCACAGAGGGACCCAAATGTAGAGAACTACCCATATGTTTGGAATCCCACCATTACGCCTAAGGTGGGGGGCTTTACCGAACTTTGACGGTACCGTACTGCCGCAGCTCTCTTGCCATGTATCACGGCGGGGCTGGTCTCGAGCTCTGCGGCCAAGCGGTCGCACCGAAACTTTGGTTGTGCCACTTCGCGGGTCTCCACTACCATAAACTCCCCTCCGAAGAAGGAGAAGACATCCGCAGAGCCCAACACTAGAAGTGATGCCACGTAACCTTAAGCCCTAAACCCGAACCCCTAGCAAGCTACATTGTGGCCCACGAACCCTGTGGCCGCAAGCCCTCCAAGGCTAGAACTCCCACTCCACAAACCCTGAACCTTTAGCCCTAATCCCTGAATTCGAAAGTTGGGCCAAGTACCCGAAACCCCCCAGCCCGAGCATTCCAGGCTCCCCTGCGCTGATCAGGATGCTGTGCACGCCAAGGATCGGCCTCCACCTCTCGTCCGCCGTCTCCTGCGTGTGAAGGGCTCCTCCTTGGGGCACCTGTAAGGGTGCCTGAAGGATACCCTTAAGGTTTCCCTTTTAAGGGTTCCTCTAAGACCCTAAGAGGGCTGAATCTTGGGGCTTGAGTTTCGAACCGTGTCCAGGGGGGGGCTTTAGGGACTCAGGATTTCGGATTTGGGGTGTAAGGCCGTGGGGTTTGAGCCGGTTCAGCGTTTAGGATTCCGGGCTGCATGTTTTTCGGCTCCAAGCTGCAGGATTCTTACCATGCTCGAGTCCTGGTCGTTGAATCGGTCGGTGCCCGGAGGATGGAGAATCGAGATGCACACTCGCCCGTCTGCAAAGATATTCGGATGCCACATCTCTGTCTCAAACCTGAGGCGAATCTCGGCTTGTGGTCAAGTTTTTTGGGGTTTCGGGCCTCTTATCACAAGACTTTGGTCGTCATCAGCGTCACTCTGCTCGTTTCCTTCTCCTCCTCTTGCGATTACCAAACATCCTGTGCTCAATGCCTGTCGGCTGCACCCGCACAGAACGCATAAAGGAAGCCTAAGTCTCAGAAAACGTGCTGCATCCGCGGTGCGAAATACCGACTTTGCCTTTCCTTTGTTCTTAGAGCCCATGCGGCTTCATGCCTTAAACGGACTCGATGGGCACAAACTTCGACTTGCAGAGCTCTGTGCTTCCCTGGTGAACACGTCCTTCCGACAGCACCGACTGCCCTCAAAGCGCAGACATCATCTCGACATCCGGGACAGGCGTTTCCCAACAGATCTATTGATAGCAACCAGCGAAAGCCCCATAAGACACTCTGGGGATAATTCCGCTGTGGGATTTTGTTCACCAATCGTTGCTGCTAAGGTCCGCGCTTCATCTCAGGCGGATTGTTCGGAAAGTCCGGGGGGAAAACGAGGATGGCGCTGAAAATCCCACCCTCGTACCTGCTACGAGGGTTAAGGGTTTTCGGTTCAAAGTGTAACGTGCAGCGCTTCGGGTTTTGGGCTTGGGTGTTGGGGCTGAGGGGGTGTCGTAGTCTTTTCCGAGTGCAGAAGATTTTGCGGCAGGAATTCGCGTCCCTCACTGCAGGTCTTGGAATGGGGTTTCTCATGGTCAGGAACGCCAGACGAAGGACTAGTGTCACGATGACACTTTGCGAGCATCATCTTGCCATAGCCAGTGCCATGAAAGAAAAACCAGACTGATACCGTTTAACGGGTTAGGGTTTGATGGTCCAAGGCTGGGCTTTGGGGTGCAGGTATACTGTTAGTGGTTTTATTGGGTCGACATGTTCAGCTGGAGCCAAAATCAACTCAAGCTGCGATGGCTGCGAGTTGCCTCACAGTTTAGGCAGTTTCAAACAGGGGCCTTGATACTTAGAGTTGCGTTTTGATGTAGACTGCACAATAACATTCACGAATCGTTACAGGAGCCAAAATTTGAAGCATGGCTCCTGTGTGGCTGACTCACCTAAGCACTAAATCCTGAGTCCTAAACCATCAACCCAAAGCCATAAACCCCCAAACCCTAAAGCCTGAACCATAAACCCCTAAACCGAAAACCAGAAACCCCAAAACCCAAACTCAGCCAAAGCATCCTCAGGATCAGATGGCGCACAAGCTGTCCTGCGGCCCCTCGAAGACCACCTGCCACCTGAAAAAGTCCTGCCATCACGGGATATCATAGAGGTTATTACCATACTCTGAGGGTTTGACGTTCAGGGTTGTTGACGCAGATGCGCGCATATAGCACATACCGACACAGATCACATACACACATCCATCCAGACGCACATGCAGACACACACACACACCCTTTCCAGTTCAGAGTCACCTTTAGGGGCGCAGGACCTGCTTGTTTCGGCCCGCAAAACAGAATCTCTTTACTTTCCAGCTGATCTTGCGATGAGAGACGCGTTCAATCCTAAGTTCCCCCCTCTACAGCAGAACCCCATATACACTTACCCGTATAGTAACCCATTACGGTGAACCCCCTTACACAATAACCCGTTTAGTAACACCCATCTCGTAGAACCCTTTAGTATGATTTAACAACCCTCATAATAGCCCTTACGATAACCCACCATAAATCCTGAACCCTAAACCCTCACAGTTACACCTACTGGACGTACGTGTGCAACTCAGTTGACCAAAAAGACGTGACGCAGGATACACATCGCACAAAGTCAAGCCTTAAAAGGACATTTCACACAGACCTGCAAATGTCCCCAACCCGATCCCCGATGATCCCCGATGCCCTAAACCCAAAACCACATGGATGCAACCACTTGCAAATCAGCTCGGAGCGGTCCGAATCATCCTCGAGCCCCACCGAGAATCCACTTGTCTCGTCCTACAGTTGTGCAGGGTCATCACTCTAGCATTCACTCGGCAAGCGTAAATTAGAGCATCTAGGGCCTGGGGCCGTTTGGGGCTTTTAGGATGAGGATGCTTGGCGTCGAGGGTTCAAGGTGTAGGGTCTAAGCTTGAGGGATCAGCGATTAGCATGTAGGGTTCCGTGCCGACAAACACTTGGTCACGCAACCATAAGCTTTAAACCCTCAGGCCGCAAGAACTTCAACCCTCAAACCCCAGAAAAGAACTCCAGCGCTGAACCCTTTACTCTTCGCTGTCCTTCATGAGCTGGCATAGCTCTCGCTTCAGCATTTCGCGAGCAACGTGCGACATGGCCTAGGGTTGGTAAGGGCTTTGTTTAGGGGTGTAGAGCTTAGGAAGAGGTTAGGAAAGGCTTTACAATTTTGGAGTTTAGGGCTACTCAGGGAGTTAAGGCTTTAGAGCCTAGGCTGTTTAGGGTTGGAGGATCTTGGGCATTGAAGGTTTTGGGGTCTTTGAGGGTTCGGCTACGTCCACATCTCGTCTCCTGAGGTTTGCTACGGAGCCACCAGCAACGAAGCAGTGGCCTGACTTTGTGAATCCCCAGACTCTAAACCTTGAAGCCCAAAAACCATACATAAACACTGACTGAGCCCCGAAACCTGAAAACCCCAAACGCCAAAAAAAGGTAACCACACCCGAAACCGCTTACCGGCCAAAACTCCGAAACTCGCAAAACCCAATAGACCTCTTGCCTCTCAGCCCTGCCCGAAACCCTCTCTGAGCCTTGTCAAAAGAAGCTCCGTCCACGGCTCCACGGCCTTGGCGAGTCCATGAATTGAACCTACGACTCTTGAGCTTTGGGTCAAGACCTGTACAGTTTCTATCAGGGGGGATTTATACGATTCCAGGATGTAGGTCATTGGGAGTTTATGCCTCAAGAGGGTTTAGGAGTTCGGGTTGTTGCCGGCTTGTGGTTCGGAGTCCACGAGGTCAGAACCGAAACTCCAGCAATGGGCAACAACAAGAAAAAGGGAAGAAACCCACAATAACAGTAGCAATAACAAGATTAATGGCAAACAGAACAACAACAATAAAGTCATAATCATAATCATGAAAATCATTATTGGATTCGGTGGGGTTTAGGGTCTAGTGGTCTAGCGCTACGTGCCGCATCTGCGCCTTATCGAACTCTGTGAGGCGACCTCTGCTGTTCTGCTGCAGTACTCTGTGATTTAGAAAAACGAAAGTAAACAAGAAGAAAACGAAGAAGAGGAGTAAGAATGAAAAACCCAACGTCATACTACGAATAGCAATAAAAGCTAGTAGTAAGTGAAGTGGTCGTGGTCGTGGTCGTGGTCGCGGTGGTGGTGGTCGTCGTAGTAGTGGTAGTAGTAGTAGTAGTAGTAGTAGTAGTAGATAGAAAATACAATCGCGATAATCACAACAATGATCACCATCAGAACAATAGCAACAATAACGGTCACCATAATAGTAGTCTAGGACTAGTGATATCGCAATACTGCAACGTTTCTGTTATCCTTGCGACTACTGCAACTACTACACTGCTACATCTGTTGCTATTGGCATTACTGCCAGAAAATGGGTCTCTGCAAGTTGGAACATCGAGTGTACAGCAAGACACCGCAAGCCTTGGTCCTTGGGGTTTTGGTTCAGGGTGTAGGGCTTAGAGGTTAGGGCAGGTTTCGGCATGAGGTTGAATGCAAGGCAAAGCAGCAACAGAAAACGAGGATAAGGCCCGGGCAGAATGCTGGGGGAGCACACAACACCAGTGCTACACGGCTTGAACCGTTCAAGAGCATATCATGTCACGGCTGCATGGCTGGCAACCAGGGATACCGAGGGACACGAGCAAAATCACGTGCTTTCAGCCTCCTCAACCAGGATTTCAAGCCAAACACGGAGTTCTCAACGTCTTAGCAGAGCTGTCAATCACGATGTGAGGGCAAACCAAAAGCCGTCAGCCCAGCCTGCTCTTCGTCTCGGGTTGAGGGGTGTGGGTTAGTCCGAGTTCTGCGCGCTGCCAGAGCTCAGCCCTTTTCTCGCAGCCTCGCGGCTCCTTCATAGGTCACGGGAACTGGGGATTGTGACCTTACCTAAGCTTTTCCTCCTCCTTCCGTCCTATGCTTTGAAAGATTAAAGATTGTGGGCCTTACGCTGCAAGCGCAAGGCAGAGCAACTTGGCATGAAACGGGTCAAAAAGCGAACCACCCGCGTGGGACCCAGGAGCAATCCTGAACCACCCGAGGCGACACTTTGTTTGAGAAAAGCAACGGCATCGAATTCCACAAACTTCGTCTCTGTACAAGGGCTTCCCCTTGGGATAGGACGGCGAGGACGAAGGATTCAAAATGACCGCTTGCGCCGGCAAGCAGTCAGCGAGCCTCCAGCGACTCTACCGGCATGTAGACCTCCGGGTTTAAGGGGGGTAGCTTTTGGGACTTTGGACATCAAGGCCTCTATAAATATGAACCCAAGAAACCCCATGAGATCTTAAAACCCTGAGAAAACCGCACTCTCCTTGTTCAGTTCCCTGTACTAAGATCCACAGCCCCGAAGTATTGAAGGAGAGTGTAGAGCTTTGGGCATTTAGGGTCGCATGATTTCAACAGTGGAGTTTAGGGTTGGAGGGTTCAGGCTTTTAGATGCAGAATTCGGAGTTTAGGGAAAGTTTAGGGGTTGGGGTTAGGTGCAGGGTTAGGGTTTAGAGTCTTAGAGTTTCTCTGTCTCTCTTCAAGGACTAAACCAGACGTGTCGCAGCAAAGAAGGCCTCACTTCCCACTTCTGCGAACTTCTTGCTCATCTCTTTCATGCCTTCCTGTGCCAGGCACTCCAACATCCCACAAACAAAGGCTCATGCGGCAGGATGCCTGCTATCTCATATCTTTGAACGCACATTCCTTGCTTCAGGGAGTTCGGAGTCTCCGGGAAGAGACTGTCTTTTGGGTCTGGCAGCCTTGATCAGCCCTACAATAAAAGCCGAACCATGCCACACAGGCCTATAAAGCCCACGTAAGGGCGAATGAACAGGCTTTTGGGGTCTAGTATGATCCAATTATAGCTAACCGGAGCAGGGACTACAAGTATGAATACTACGTCAGACGTCCAGGGCTAGGGCCAAGGGCTTTCGAGTGAAGGGTATTTTAGTGCTTGAGGCTGTAGGGTGCCGGATTTTGGACGTAGGATTCAGGGTTTTCGGGCTCCAGGCCATGTAAGTCGATGATGGGGTTTGAGGCTTTCACCTGCAGCTACCTCCCTGAAGAGCTCAGCTGGCAACTTTAAAGCACTCGGCACCTGAGATCTACACACAAGATGCAAATTACAGGGCAGAAAGCCGCCTCTCACCCGCGCAAGAACCTTCTGAAACCCTTCCACACCCTTTGGGCCCTCAACTTTGCATAAAACCACCGGTAGCCCGCGCAATGCCCGGGCCTTCAGGACAGTCTCGCCATCTGCATCACCATAACCGCGCTCTTCTGCATACTTGCGCACATCGTCGGTGATCTTCATGGAGCAAAACCTGGCCCGGGCTCTGAGCGGTCGGCGACGCATGGTGAAACCAACTTCCTGCCCGGACGGACCCTCCGGGAAAATCTGGCAGCCCAGGTCACCAATTTTTGAGCAAACTGAAACAGAATTGACTCGAGTCGGGGGTCTCCTTATCAGAGACCTCTATCTTCCAGGTGCGGCCTCTGAGAATTCAGATGAGACGCTGTAACCCCCTTAAGAGAACCCTATGACTCGATAGACTCTTTCAGAGATCCTCATGAAACCCTAGACGCCTCCAGCGATACAGTCCGGAAATGAGGCAACATTAAAACTTATCAGCCACAAACCCTGAACACGAAACCCTAAACTTTCCTAAACCCTACTAAACCTTATAACCCGGAATCGTAACAGCCAGTATTCCTTCCCTAGCTCGGGCCATGGCTTCGGGCCGCACATGGAGCAGAAGTGCGCCGACTTGCCTGGGGCTATGGATGCGTTGTGGGCTGACACAATAAACGGTTGATCAGGGTTGTACGAGGGGGGTTAGGGTTAGGGAAGAACCCTAAACTAGCTGAGTAGACTATGAGAATTGTGCTGCTGTCCGTGTACTTGTACATGAAGTGACCGAGCGAGTGAGTGAGCCAGTCAGTCAGTCAGTCAGTCAGTCAGTCAGTCAGTGAGGCAGTCAGTCAGCGGTAATGGCCTACCACCGGTGCATTTGAACTTTTCATGGAGGGTCCATAACTTTAGCCATCAAGGTCATAGGCGCCCTTCAACAGAGAGTTCAGGCGAGGGAGTAACACCCGGAGGGCAGCCTTTTCAGGTACGTCATGTCGCTAGTAGTATACTTTCGGCCACCCCGAGTACGTGCGGAGGGAGCTGATCATGGCAGTCTTAGAGGACCACACTGCCCCGCCAGAGGGGGCAAAGTTGCAACACCAACACCGTATGCAGCGAGCCAGCACGATGCTCCAGCAAGGACGAATACGCAACACCGAAAAAAGCAGCGACACGGAACGGCAGCACGGTCGATTTGCCATCAGGGTCCAGCCGGAGTGGCCGTTCCAACCACAAGTGGTTATATGTTATAACTATGCACTCCTAAAACCAACGTGCACAGGAGTGACCGCCATACCAACATTGTAACATGGTGCTCGTCAGGCTTACTGGAGCCTTCCTTTGCATGGGTAGTGCAGTGTCACACTAGCGCAGCCGAAAGCGGAAGAAAGGGGTGATCATCGCACCCGCTGCCAAGGGTTCTTAGTGCCCCGGAAGTCCTTACAACTTCCAGCCCCAGTCCATCAGCAGCAGAAGCGCTAGTTACCGGGGCGCTGGTACGTGAAATAGATGTTACATGACTTTGTTCATGAGCAGTATGATTTCTTCTTGCCATTTCTTCATCGGGGACACCCACCATCATGCGAAGCATACACTCCCACCCTCACCGAAGCCCCACCTCATGCAACCTATGCTGCCTACTTCCCCCTACATCCCCCAACAGAGCTCCGTCCAAAATGGGTCGGGCGACCCTGCTCCGAGTCGATGGTCTCGTCATGCATGCTCCGTGCGGTAATGGGATCCTCGGAAGGCTCTTGTAGGGGCCTTAATAATTAGAATAGGGTGTGGGGGCCCAGTATACTATCTTTAGAATACAGAACCCCCAAAAATACTATTGGTAATTATTCAGGCCCCTATATTATGGCTAAGAGGCTTGCAACTCGTACGGGACTGGGGGAGTTTACAGCACAGCGCGGGACTTTGGGCGCATCTTCCAAACTGCCCGCGCGCAGTTGCTTTTCAGGGTTTGCTGCTGCCAAGAATCCAGGGCGAGATTGAACTGGTCGTTCCAGCGGAACCTGAGATAACTTTAGCGAAATCCTAGCAAAGACATACAATAAGAACTTGCAAAGACCCACTGCCCAACAACCCGAATTTCCTTTTACCAACCCTGCACCCTGTATCCATGCGACTCACAAACCAGACCCTCAACCCGTAACTCCCTGTACCCTACCTACGTCCTATACCTCAAATAACACACAATACTAAAGCTTGTCGAGAATGACTACATGATAAGAGCCAAGCAACTCCAGAGATTGAGTATTGAAGAACGAAACTCGGCATTCCTATAACCACCCACACGCCAACGCCGCTAACCCTCCGATACCCTTACACAAACCGAATAAGCACCAGAATTAAATCCGCAGCATGATCAAAACCACAAAATCAAAAGCGCTCCAAAACCCAAGGCACCCTTCCAAAAACTTGCTACGAACACGCTAAAACACAAACATGCCCCCCAGGCCCCCACCCTAAACCCTAAGCCCTAAACCCTAACCCTAAACCCTAAACCCAAACTTGAAGCCAAAAGGCTCAAAGCGGGCCTTGGAGAGCGCGTCATCCCACTCCTGGGCCTTGGGATGGCCCTTGGCCTGGGACTCGGTGCTTTTCTGTGCCTTATGGGGGGTTGAGGTTTAGGGGCTGGAAGTTCAGAAGTTTAGGGTCTAGGGTAAAGAGGTTTCGAAGTTTAGAAGCATAGGGTTTAGGGTAAAGGGGTTTTAGAAGTTTGGAAAGATAGGGCTTAGGGCAAAGAAGTTTAAGGTTTAGGGCTTTGGAGTACAGGGCTTCGAAGTTTTAGGTTTACGGGGGCTTGGTTTGGTATGTTTGGTTCGGGGTTTTATGGGGCTTTGATGGCCTATAAGGGACTTGGCTTTGATCTGGACCCCGGTGATTGGAATGCCGTGGCCACCCAAAACTCCTAAACTACAACCAACAAAACAAACGCAAGACCCTAAAACCCTAAAACCCTGAAGGGCCTAAACGCTCAACAGCGGAAGAAGCACTGTTCCGACCTTCATACTACACAACCCTTAAGGCCTTAAGAATTTCAATCTGGTTGTGGCGCACATTCTACTAGACTTATAAATGGAGCATAGGGGGATAACCCTAAACCCTAACCCCCAAACCCCGAAACTAAACCCCAAACCCGAAACCCCTAAACCCCTAAGCCCTAAACCCCAAACCCCTAAAGAAAAGGCAGCTCTCGGGGGCAAGACCAGGTCGGCAGCATGGGCCGCGATGCGGTAGGCGATGATGCCGGCCTGCTGTCGAAGTCTGTAGCGCTAAGCCGTAATCATGTATGTGTATATATATATATATGTACATACATACATACATACATACATACATACATACATACATACGTAAATACATACATACGTAAATACATACATACATACATACATACATACATACATATGTACGTATACAGACATACATATATGTGTATGTGTATATATATATATAGAGAGAGAGAGAGAGAGATGTGTGTGTGTGTGTGTATGTGTATCTATAATATATCTACACCCAGAAAGTACTTATTGAACTTGTGAAAGAAATGTCGAGGCCAGGTGTTGATGACCGGATTTGGGAGCCTCCAGAGCCCTCTGCGCCCCGGTTTGGGGGGTTTGGGGTTTGGTTGGTTTGGGTTTAGGGGTTTAGGGTTTAGGGGTTTAGGGCTTAGGGGTTTAGAGTTTCGGGTTTCGGGTTTAGGGTTTAGGGTTGGGGGTTTAGGGCTTATGAGCCCGTAGCCAGAGACCCTCCTGGCTCACAAAACCTCAATCTGGGTAGTTCTCCAAAGTAAGGTCCCTTCTTGGGTCCTTATTAAAGCGGCGCCGTATTACACTCGGGACCCCAGAAAAGGACCCTACTCTAGAGAACTACCCAATCTAGCTCCTGAAGAATCCAATCTTAACCACAACAACATGTGGACAGGAAAAACTCACTTAAAGAAATGATCTTACACCTTCCAAACCAAGCTAAATCCTTTATAGAATCTTTTTTCAAGCTCTTCTCGAAGTTTCAACCCACAGACTGTGTAGCCTTCACATCCTCACGGTCTGGCAGACCCAAGTGTTCCTTTGGAGTGACGTAGCACAGCATTGCCGTCCTGAGCAGCCATGTCAGGATGCCGCCATAGACTCTTGGGGCCTTAGGGATGTAGGGTTGCTAAACCCTTCTCGTAGTTGAGCCCATGGAGACGAAACCTAACACGCCGCAAACACACGATGCCAACGACCCAACATGCAGGACATAGGCAGGTCGCCCCATGGCACCAATGTTGGCCGCACCGATAGCGGAGGTGATGTGGTCGTAGCCCGGCGCGATGTCTGTAGTCAGGGGTCCCAGCGTGTAGAACGGCGCCTGACAAGACCCGATCAGATTCAGGCGGGGCTTGAGATTATGTGGTCCTCCTCCACTGCGGGGAATTTGAGAGATCCTACGTCTTAGCGCGTCTGACTCGGGTCCCCTCATTTCGGAAACCCCCGATAGCTTGCAAATCCCGGGTTCACCCTTTAACATCAAGCGCCTCGGAACCCCTCTGAGGGTTTGGGCTTTAGGGCTTTCAGCTTAGGGTCCTTGGTTTAGGGTTCCGGAGTTTAGTTCGTGCAGCTCTCTATCGGTTTGGGGTTTAGAGAACTCCAGGGCCCCATGAAAAAAATCGGCCTCGTGGCACCACTCCAGCTGCTTCCGCATGTTCTCCGGAATCCTCTGGAGTCCATCTCTAGGTCGTTGGTGTATAGACTGCGGCTTTTTGTTCGTGATGCTAATAATGATGACGCATTCAGCTTGTTTTCGGCCCGTTGTTCTTGCGATATGGCTGTTGTTGTTGTGGCCGTTGCCGACGGGCTTTGATCTGCATGCGAAACAGTCCGCGTGCGAAGAGCACATTGCGCACGATCTGTGCATGGGTGCAGGCTTCGATCACCTCAACAAAAAGATTGTTTCGAAACATGAACATAGCATATCCAGGCATTGTTGTTCTGTCTTGTGCCCTCCTTACACGCACTTGTGCTGGCTTCCTTGCTCTCTACCAGGCAAAGAAAGCCCTGTCGGGGAACTCCATGATGACAGTAATGATGAAAATGATGATACGCGGTGTTCATACTAATCTTAAAGTACTAGATCATGCCAGCGATACTTGACGTTGTCAGTGTTGGGCTTCTGTCCCGTAAACTCCTTGCAAACTTGTTTAAGTCGACCCCCACTCCTGGCTAGAAGACGGTAACTTGATGACAAGGTTTGTCAAGCTACTGCTCGTCGGGTTGCTGCTGCACAAGTCCTAGTATGTAGGTGCTGGGGTACTAGTACTGACAGGAGTAGCAGCGGTGGGAGCAGTAGACGTAGCAGCACGATAACCCCGAAACCTAAACCCCCCAAAATCCAAAACCCGAAAAGTTGAAAAAATACCTGGAAGGAGCCTCCTTAGCCCCCATGCCCTAGCTCGCCACCAGCAAAGGTTCTTTGCGGACGAAGGCACTTGTGCAGAGGCACGTGGCCCGGCCCTTCGTTCATCACCTCTTGATTTGTTTCAAGTAAGGGGGGGGTTAGGGTTTTCAGGGTTCAGGGTTCAGGGTTCAGGGTTTAGGGTTTAGGGTTTAGGGCTTAGGGTTTAGGATAGGGTTTAGGCTCGCAGAATAAATGATACCCTGGAAGCCCTAAACTTCTAAATCCTCAACCCTGGAGTCGGAGAGCCTGCTTTCTTGCCCTCTTTGAACCCCTGCGAAACCGGAAGTCCGGAGCCCGAACAGCTTCACCGAAGCTTTTGCTAAGTTACCCTGACTTTATGGTGACTGAAAACGAGCTCCTAAACACTAAGTAAAGCCTCAATGCGACAATTCCATGAAGCCCGATCTCTTACATCCGTTTCCTGAACATTGGCACCGAATATGGTAGCTTCCGAAACCAGGGAGCCCTGTCGGAGATCCTTGATCCTCTGTGCAGGAACCCCCCCAAAAAAAATAAAATAAAACACACACACACACAAAAAATAAAAATAAAAATATATACATATATATATATGGAACCCCTGAACCCGAAAATGAATGGGATCCTCATTTAAGGGGACCCCGAGTTTGACGAAAGCCCCTTGTAAACCCAAGGGAGTGGGCCTGGACGCCTTTGGCCCACGCACGTTGGGTCAGCTCGCCCTGCACCTGGAGAGTTCTTTTCAGGATTTCCACAAGGGTTGCCATGTAAGGATCACATTTGATGTAATAAGGCTCCGGGTCAGGCGTTCAAGGGACTACAGTGGTTCAGGCTTCGCTTGTGGGGTTTGGGGCGTACGAAGAGCGGGTGCCAAGAAGTTGGTGGGGAACAAACGCCAAGGCCAGGTGTGGAAAGAAAGTCAGGCCGGATGCCGACTGTGGAGATTCGCGTGGCAACTTAAACCTGAAACGCTAAACCTAAGCTCTAAACTATGGAAGACCTTAAACCCTAAGTCTAAAGTCAAAACCGTAAACCCCAGGTCCTAAACCTTAGCCCTTAGGCCCTGAGCCCTGAACTGGGCCTCATGTGGGGTTCCCGAAAATCACCGATCATAAACAACTGCTCGTTACTAGGGAATGGTGTGACGCAGACTTGAGAAACAACTCCAAATTATTCAGGGTTTCGGGCCAGAGCGGGGATCTTGGTCTGGGAGTGCACGATGTCCGACCGATTGCATAGCAGCCAAGAGCCCCGCGGCCGCCCACATGGGCAGGAGCAGAGATGCGCAATGTTGCTCCATGGTGCAATCCCCTCAAACGCAGAAACCCAACATCGGCATCGAAACCACTCGAGCGAAAGAACTATTTTCGGCCGGGGGCCTTCAGTTCGCCGAACTGGGCCTCATCGTTGGCATCCTGCTAATGCGCTTGTGACTGCCGTTGCAGAGTGCTCGCGTGTGGTGTTTGAAGTAAGTCTTTTTCTTGTCAATGTGGCTAGAACGGATATCGCTGGTGCCGTAGGCGATATCTGCCATTGTTAGTACTTTTCTGGAAATATGGCTCGGCTTTTGTGTTGAAACTTGTTGCCGGTTGTTGCTGTGCATGTTCTTTGTTGTCGCGTTGTCTGCATCGTCGGGTTGCTGTTGTAGGTGGTCTTGCTGCTGCAGGCACTGATGACCATGGCCATGACAATGAGGATCAGAAGGAGGATAACTCCCAACTTATGGTTACTGGCTGCTCGTGCGGCCTTGTGAGAGCTCCAGATATACACAGTCATGCTCGCTAACATAGCTGCCACACCTTCCCGGAATCGTCTCACGGTCCTTGATGCAACCGGGACGAAGGCCATCACCGATGCTCAGTGACCTTGGCGCAAGGTAGGAGATTTGGACGCACAGAACCGTGGCAGCCCGTGGTCCCGATGTGGCCTGCTTTCCTGGCAAGCCGCATCTGCACATGGGATTGGCCAGAATGCTGCCCTGTGGCTTCAAAAGCGGCCAACTCTGCTAGCATAGATGCACGAGCCATACAGAGAGTGCCCGGACTACTGACGGGGGTCCCACTTCCCATACCTGCAGCATCTGCCTTGCAGTGTTCCTGCTGCCCGCCACGAACTCGACTGGTCTGTCTTTCAGCCGAGGGTAAAGTGAAAGGACAAAGAAGACCGTCTAACAGCTCCACTTTACTGGACGAACTTTTGATAGTTTCATAAATGATGGATTATGTATACGCTTGATATTATATGACAATCTCATGTTCATCATGTCGTGCATGCTCTGTGGTTCTGTTTTGCTTTTCTCATACATATCATGTAAAGAGTATTTTCTTCATCTCTTGCCACTAGATTTCTTCATCTGAAATATCGAAAAGACGATTTTTTTGCGGGAAAACATTGATGAAAGTTCTCGTTTTTTCCTCTTTAGAAGAATAACCAAGTTCATACAAAGTCCATTGACATCGATTTGATACTTATCTCCATCTAGACGAATATATTCAGTTATAAAGTTATCAGGGTTTGTCTACGGATGCGCTCTGTGCCATAGCTTCCACAAAGGCAGGCCACCCAAAATCTGGGGTTCAGGGTTTCTCTGGCCACGGAATCGGGTCAAGACCGCAAAAGACACAGCACCAGGTGCCGAGCACGTCGTATTTCTTGCAGATGTCCAGAATGTCATCCCAGTGCTCGTAGGCAAAGTTTTCCTCGTCAGCCACCCGTTACAACTCCGTACAATGCATCTTTACAAAATTCCGTCGTGCCGTGTGCTGAACGAGGTTGGATTGCATGCTTCCCGCTGAACAGAAGCTGGAAACCCGCGCCTGCCCCGGCAATTTTGCAACAGGCCTCGGCCGCCAGACCTAGTATTAATGAACTCAATGAAGATACAAAACCTCGGATTGAACAGCCTGGGCAGGATCTCGCATACCGAAAGCCTTGAGGAACAAAGTGACGCCACAGAATTCGGAGGCCTGGGCCTCCGAATCTCCGGAACCCCTACGCCGGGATCCCAAACCCCAAAACCTCAAACCTTAAAAAGCACCCGGAGCCCTAAACCCCAGGGGCCTCATGCTTGGAGATGCAAAGCTTCGCATGGATAGAGCCCCCACGGCTGACCTGAAGACCGCCCCACTTCAGATGAGGGTTTCAGGTTTTGGGGCTCAGGAATTGACACTTTGAGGCTTTAGCGCTTCCGGGATGGAGGGCTGTCGCACAGGCACTGCGGCCTCAGCAGCAACATTGTCACTCATAACGACTCATAACCAAAATAACACACTCAGAAACCAGAGAACAACAGCAAACATGATTTACTGTGTAGCAAATGAGAAGTAGTGAGAACCTACATAGCAAGTGGAGGTTGATAACCAGCTGGTGGCTAGGAGCTGGTAGTTGGCAATTAGAAGTAGATTGTAACAGTGTTGAATAGCTGGTAGACACTACTTGCTATCAGTTGGTCGCTAGCCGCTAGTGGCTACTAGCAAATCGTCAGCAGTTAGTGGCAAGTAGTATGCAATAAGTACGAGGCAATGGTGAATTTGTATCCGGTAACAGATAGAGTAGTAGTCATTGCATAGTGCAACTAGTTGCACCGGATGAAACCTTCTAAACTCGGCTGCCCACCAAAACCCTGAACCCACCCCTAAACCCAGGTGTCCCATGTTATAGCAGAATCCTTACGACCAGGACTGAAGGACCCAGGGGCGGGACGATGCCCGTGAGGCGCTTCGCCGTCAAAGGCACGAATCGCAGCAGTACCCCAGCATGGATGGTCCTCGGGACTTGCGGAAGGCAGGCCCTGCAGGGATGATGCAATGGTTTTTGGCATTTGGGTTTTAGGGTTTTAGGGTTTTAGGGTTTTGGGGTTTTGGGGTTTTGGGGTTTAGGGCTTTGGTGTTTTAGGGTTTAGGGTTGTGTAATGTTTCGATCCGGCTTCACTGGCGTGTTGCGATGGTTTAGGCTTATATAAGAGCCTGCAAGTGGGGCGCTTGAACGAGGCCGGAGACTATGTCCAATGTAAGCGCCTCAAGAATTCGGCTATATCGAACTCTTGCACAGGATTTATAAAGGGATAATGTCACCCAATACTCAGACCGCTATAGTACTGATGGACAATCAGCTGTGATAATTTCGGTTACTACCTGGGATGCAAAAAGGGTGCCACTGACACTGAACACGAAAAATGAAACCCTCAAGCCGAAAGCTGCAAACCCACAGCTCTTGAAGTCTTTTAGCCCTCGCAGTTCCGGCGCTGCTTCTCCTAGTGTGTTCTGTGATTTGGGCATATGGGCCCCCTCCCGAATCCGACTGAAAAGTTTAGGGCCCAGGGCCTCCCATGTAGATGCCTAGCCCCGAACAGCTCTGAAATGCCTCGCCTCTCTGATGCCTTCGCGAAATATGGGATCGCAATGCACCCCTGCAGAACGAGCTCAATATGGGTGGTTCTCAAAATTAGGGTCCCTTTTCAGGTTCCCAATATAGTACGGCATCCACCTAAAAAGGGACCCTGAAAGGGAACCTAATTTAGAGAACTACCCACATGTAAGAGACCCCCCACCTTTCCAAAGCTCCTGCGTGTCACGGACCAAGTGCTAGAAATCCGGGCCCCCGGGCCAATAATCGACACCCTGCTCGGCCTGGTTCCCCAGAGAGCTGAATCAAGGAATTTTAGGGTTTCGGGTTTAAGGCTTAGGGTTTAGGGTTTAGGGTTTAGGTTTACATGAGCAAAGGGGCTTGTTGCTATGAGCCAATTTATCTTCAGTAGTCGGGCCGGTACAGGGCAGTGGGCTTCTGGGTAGAGGGGGGCACACACATGCTGCTTTCAATAATAACAATCACAGTCACGGTGGTAAAAGCCCTAACCGAAATGATAACCATAACAAGAACAATTACCAGAGCACTAACAATGATAGCAACAACAATAACAATATCAGCAAAAACAATAAGAATAACACTCAATACCAACAATAATAATGACAAGAAGAATAGTAACAATGCTCATAATAACTATAATAACAATAATAATAACAATAATAATAATATTATTATTATTAACATTAATATTAGTATGAATATTAATATTAATATGAATATTAATATGGGGGATGGTGGGGATAGCAGCGAATAACACTGAAGGGGTTGTCGATGAGCGGAGGTTTACGTGGCAGAGCAGGTTGGCTCCCCCTTCCTTCAACCGGGTTGGACTCGGTTCCCGGATACACTCGTCGAAACAATGATTCGGCAACCTCAGTCCGGGCAAAGCAAGCTTACGACCCCAAATGGACTCGGCGAGCCCCGACTCGCACCCCCGAACAACTTCGGCACTTTGTGTCAGGATTTTGAGGACACCTGGGCTCTTCAGCTCCCCAAGTAATACTCTAAGAGACTCAACCTGCATCTTGGGATGGTTCTCCCGATGTTCCCGTGGCTCCCATACCTGATGTGCCTCTTAATTCTCGCAAGGGCCTGCTCGATCAACGTCTCACGGAACTTTTCCCAGGTCAGGTCCTCAGCGATGCCGTCGACCTCAGCGCCATGGTGCGTTTAGGGGTGTTGGGGGTCTAGGGCTCACCAGCTTCTCTGAGAAAGTCATTCCTTCAACATTCGGGGTTTCATTCAATGTTGAATGATGCTAAGTGTTCTGTACCTACATACTGTGGCAGCGGGTGGATGCAAGGCCCGAAATAGATTGGAGGTAGGCTGCAGAGAGTTCAACCAGGACAGTTGGGCGAGTTCTGGGAAAGCTGATGGACACGTGCGATGGGTAGAGAAGACAACCGGCTTAGAAGACGTCAGAGAGCTGCTAGGAAAACCCAATGGTCAGAACAGAAAGGACTTGCTCTGCGATTGACACGTTGATGAACTCGGATAACAGAGAGTAGGTTACGCACGTCTTCTCTAGCATTTCCGTTTACTCATCAGAACCTCTCTTATCCCTCTCAAGGCCCAGCTTACAATATGAAACGCGTTATGCAAACATCCCCGACAATTCCTTCCACTGCGCACCATACTGTAGAACTGTATGACGAGGATCTTCAGGGAATCTTCAGGCAGGTTTTAGCTGTTACTGGCCAGAGCAGGGCCTTCTCAAGCGCTTGGTAGATGGGCACCGTTCCCACAGGCATGGCCTCAGCGAGCCAACTCGCTTGACATGGAGAACAAGGCTTCTTCAGGAAAGCTTTTTCTGCCTCGGTCATATGCAAGCTGATAGTGTATAAAGTCTCCTCGATATGTGTATGTGTGTGTATATATATATATATAAAAGGATGTATGTATGTATGTATGCATGCATGCATGTATATATATATATATACACACACACACATATGTATATCAGGCCTGAGCCCTCAGGGATTCGGAGAAATTCACAGATCGACTGCAGGCCCCGGCCAGAACTCGCAGCTTCGACTCTCGGCCGCCGGCGCTGTTTCGGACGATCCACTCCCTCGTCTCGTGGATGTGCTTGCCCGTGCTCAGGTCCATCAGGGTGTCGGCGCCTCAGAGCAAACGGCCGTGAAAGCCATGCACCCTCAGAACCTGCATAGACCCAGGCCATTAAACCCCTGAACCCCAAGCCCTAACCCCGAATCCCCAAACCCTGAACCCCTACACGCCCTTAGCTCGGGGCCCCAAAGGGAGCTCCACTGCAGCTTCTCGACCTCCTCCTCGATGTTCGATGCCTCGGAGGCTTGATACAAAAAGGACCTTATTAATTAGAATAGGGCTTGGGGTTATATTATAAGGAACCCCCCAAATAGTATTTATGTAGGCCCCTGTATTGGATGATATCCGGCATCATCCATGATTAATCAGGAACATACGATCGGTCCTTGAAATCGCCTGGAGTTCGTCTCGGAAGCCTTCCACCTCAGCAGCCCTCATCGCTAAGCAGTAAACCCCAAACTCCTAAAGCCTAAACCCATAGAGCTACAGCAATAAAGCCCTCACATCCTAAACCCATAAAGCCTGAACCCCAGCCCCGAACCCCGCCCACAGTCGTCGTGAACTTGCTGTAAGCCCCCAAAACGCTAATCGCATAGACGCCGCTTGCCGTGACCCAAAAACCGAGGCCCTGGCAACGGCAGAGTTCCCGATGTTCGAATTGATCTTCACCTGGGCAAAGACGTCGGGATTCCGTGTCAAGAAAACGGTCGCCGATCTCGGAACCAAGAAACTACAATCGTAGTGAGGTTGGGGGTCTAGATCGTAGCCGGTAGGCTACGCCCCAAACCCAAAATCCCCTCGATCTAGCCGACAGCAGCCTCTCTTCAGTGGACGGGGACGGCGCCTTGAAGTGCCGCCCGATGATCATGGGCTCCGACCTCTTCATGGCTTCGGTGGGTGAAAATATGCAGCGGATTGTTTGACATAATATGATACATACGATAATATAGCAATATAAATATATAAAGGATTCCAAACTGGGGTGCTCTTGCTTTGGCCGTGCGCGCATATCGATTTGGGGTTTAGGGGTCAGGGGGTGTTTTTCAATTTAAAATGCTCAAAGCAGAGGAAGAGGAAGAGGAGGAGCAGGAGAAGGAGGGTTGGGGTGCACTATGACATAGTCTGATGCATCATGAACCCCTCTTGCAAAAGGCCTTGGCCGTAGCAGTGAGTGACCAAGGAGTCTCACCAAAAGGTCGTGATCTTAGGAGCTTCTCAGGGAATAGGACATGCTCGGTTCTGTGAGTCGTGCATGTTGGGTAGCGTGGTTTGGCCCGCCTCACAGTTGAAAGATGAGAGCATTTGGTATGTCGGGTATAACGGTTGCAAGCAAGCTACAAGTACACAATTAGGGGAACTACAAACCTCTTATATCCAACCTACTAAGTCCAATGAAATACCCTGCTGCCAGCTGGGACGCGGACTCCGGGTGGTTGCGATTTGCTGGGATGATGGCCTCAGTAGATTTGAGCTGCAGGGGCGTGGGGTTTTGGGCTTGAGGATATTAGGGTCTAGGGCTTGGGTTTAAGCTTTGAGGCCTCGGGGCTGTTCAGGTTTAGGGCCTCTTTGCCGAGAGTCTGCAAAGCCCTCAAAACGCCACACAAATCTTGATAAAACCTTGACCCTGTTCTAAACATGAAAAGCAGCAAAAACGCTGCATTTCTGATATAAAACAAAAGACGTCACCCCAGGGTTCCCGGCCCGTCCACGCGCCACCTCCGAGCGGACGAACTCCGGGTCCATGCCCTCGCGCCTCGATGGGAATCTGAACTTTGGGGGTTCAGAGTTTAGGGTTCAGGGTGCTTTTTTGCCTTGTTCCGTCTTGCAAGAAGTCGAGGGTTTAGCGTTTAGGGCGTAGGATTTAAGATTAAGGAGGAATATACCGTGGTTGAAGCTCGTTTCCTGAGCTACGGCATGTTGGGCTGGTGCTCTACAATGGTGTGTCTTTTTGTAGCTCAAAAACACTGGGGCACTCTTCCAGTAAAGACCCTGACACGGACCCTGATGTAGGGAACCGAACCCGCTGCATCTCTGAGTTCTAGCAGTTGGAGAAGGAGGTTGTGGGGTCCAGTGGTATTGAGTCATTCCTTGTCGGTCCCTGGGAGCTGTTGGCCTTGGACTGGCTAGAGGGGAGGCCGAGAGCGAGAGACAGAGAGAGAGAGAGAGAGAGAGAGAGAGAAAGAAAAAAAACGAAAAGACTCACAGCGAACAGATGATACAAGACAGAGATTGAGCGAGATTGAAGGAAAGAAAAAAAATGCAGACAAGAGACGAGGGACTTTCATGCCGAAAGCCAGGCGTCTCAAGACCAAATCACAGGGAGGACGCTCAAAAGGAACACTAATCCCCTAAACGATGAACTCACAACGGCGAACCCCCGCCGACTGAGCCGAAGGCGCCGCGATGAAGGCCATCTCCTGAAGGTCTGCCCCAGAGAAGGCTCCGAGCAGAGGACCCTATCAAGTTAGAAAGACACAGCCTCATGCTAGGGTTTGGAGTTAGGGGGTGGTAAGTTTGCAGAGTGCAGGGATGGTTCGCATGCATTGGTGCTTCTGGCTTTGCACTCCCTCTGAAAAGGCCTCTTCGTCTCAGCATTTCACTCCCTGGCGCCCTCCTGAGTGATCACCCCCTGCTTCGCGTAGTACATCTGCGTGCATGTCCCATCCTCCTTAGGGAGACGCTGAAAGCTCCGCAGGTTGGGGTCTTGCGGGGAAAAACATCCAGCGACACTGGCACGGAAAGGGACGTTTTAGCAAAGTCACAGAATCCCGGCACCACCGATTATGTGTAGCTGCCTGAACAGTCCGGACTCTAAGCTGCTGAGGCATAGGCAGCCACCTCGCGACCTTCCCCAAGCAGGTTCCAAGGAGCTGGAACTAGTTAGTACAGGGGCCTTGATACGCAGCATATGGCTGAGGGGTGCATTATGCTTCAATTGTTGAGGGACAACACGAGGATATTCTTCTTGCAAATTGTTCCGACCACTATAGCGCTGCAGATGAGTTGACATCCGCCTCTTGGTGGGTTGCCGGGATGTGCAAGGGGGTATCCGATGCTGTTTCAATGTGTCCTTCGGTACGGCCGTTCTATCGGCGAGCCAACGAGGAGCACCTAGCATCTTCCAGAGACAAGCCAGCGGACATCACCAACGTGAACCGAGCAGACGCCAGGCTGCGGCGGAACTTCGAAGATCGGAACCGATGCCAAGGTTGGAATGCACCGATGGTGCCTTCGATCCACTTCTTCCGGAGCTTGGCCAAGCCTTTCCTGGGATCCGCACCTCGGAAGCTTCGGAGGGCTTCTTAGGGCTTCGGAGTCTTCCCTTGCTGCCCGTTGCCGGCTAAGCCGATGCCTAGTGGCTTAGGAGCCAGCAATGTCTGCCCTCTGCTGGCCTCAAGCATCGCCTCTCTGGTGCTGTTCTTACCCCCAACCCCCAGAACTCTCGGAACCCGAAACCCCGAAACTGTAATTGCCGAACCCCAAATTACCCCAAAAATACCTCCAAATTACACCAAATAACCCCAAACTACTCCCAAATTACACCAAATTACCTGGCGCCCGAAACCCCAAACCCGAAACGAACTGCTCCGGCTGCAGAACCCGGAGGACCGCTGGTGTCGTAGACATCCAAGTGATCGCAGCCGGGGTCCTCTTTGGGCTCTTCTGAAGGGATGAAAATGACCACTCAGGTGTTGGCTTTCATACTGTTTCCTGAAGGGTTGCACCGGGTTTTGGGTTTTCAATTAAAAACTAGGCCGCTTCTATAACGTAGGATGCCGGATGCTACACAGCTAGAGGTGCTGCCAAAGTCGCAACCCTCACTGGAAAGCAGATCTCCACACATGCTTTGCGCATCCTCGTCCGTCAGGTGGATGCGACGGAATGGGATCTTGAGTTTCTCGCCGGTGGCCTCATAGACGACCTCCATAAGCTTGCGACTCCACGCAATGCTCCCACGCTCCAGCTGCTCGGCTCCATCAGTAAACAGGAAGCTTCGGTCGATGAAACCTTCTTTACCTGGCCTAGAAAGCATAAGGTAAAACATGCACACCGCAGCTCCTCTCAATAACCCTTGACCTGAGCGTCGGTACGCGCGTGCAGCCCGCGCCTCCTTGTAGATCTTCTCGGAGCTCGGATATGCCTCCTTGAACCTGAGGAAAGAAAAAGGGTTGTGGGTTTCGGGCTTCAGAGCTTGAGGTTTATAGGGTATGGTCACCAGAACATTTCGCTCTAATCCTAACCACATGCCCGAGAAACCTTCATCCCTAACCTCTATAAGCCCCTACCAGCCTATGAGCCCTCTAGCCTCTAAGCCCCCTAAGTCCTCTAAGCCCCGTAAGCATTACGTGCTCTAGAAAACCTTTATGTATACGTAATATACTATAAAATACTATAAATACTATAATATCCGACGATATACTATAACATGCTATCATATACTATAACATACTATAACATACTATAATATACTATAATATACTAGGAAATACTGTGATATACTATGATATGTAAACTCATCATCCCAGACAAACTCTGAGGCCCCCCGGCTGGAAAGCATCCTTGAACTCCGGGTTGTACGGGTCCTCCGGCTCGGCTTAGGGTTAGGATTTAAGGTTTAGGGTTCAGGTTTTAGGGTTTAGGGTTTAGGGGTTTAGGTTTAGGAAGTTAGGGTTTTAGGTTTAGGAGTTTAGGGTTTAGGGGTTTGGGGGTTTGCGGGTTTAGGGGTTGGGGCTTGGGGCTTGGTGTTTAGAGCTTTAGGGTTTAGGGGTTCGGGCGTTAGGCTTCAGGGGTCAGGGCATCTTCAAGCTCCGGCATCATTGCTTCCAGGAGGCTGAAAAAGGCCTCCTTTTGACCAGACCACTCTTCCGAAAGTGGTGGAAATCTAAACGAATCATTACCCGACACGGCACCCAGCATGAAATCCCGACACCCGAATGAAATCTCTCCGCGGTCCGATGTGGGGCGACTGCGGCCACTGCGGCTGCGGGGCATCTGCCGGCAAAGAGTCCTGTTCAGACCACTCTAAACCCTAAACCCTGAACCCTGAACCTGCAACATCGAAGCTTCCGAGGGGCTGCACCACCCGGAGCTTCTGAAGCCGGCTTGACTGTTAGGATGCCTGGGCTTCTTCTGAGATGATTAGCCGCAGGAGCCCAAAACCCTGTTCTACTTCTGAAGGCCCTGCATTAGTCCATTCAGGCTGGCTGGCCTCTCTTGTCGACGGCTGGCAGCCGCAGCTCCTGCTGCCACCAGCGCGGCGATCCCACCCGGTGCGGTATCTGCACGCGATGTAGGGGTTTAGGTTTTAGGGTCAAGGGCTTAGTAAATGATCATATACTCCCTCGGAATCACAAAGTCCGGCAATTTTGGAATGGGATTCTTGTCTTGCAGTTTCCCTTCTGCTTCAAGGGCTTTCGGGTTCTTTCTTTTGGGGATTTTACAGTTTCGTGTTAGGGTTTAAGTTGTGTTTCAGTATCCTCCTCCTTCCGGCTGAGACGATTCCGATGATCTTTGCCCACGGCTTTTGACTCCGGCCTTCTACGGGTGCAAATTTCAAGGGACGGCATGTTCAGAGTTTGGGGGTTTCGGGGCTTTGGGGGGTTAGGGGTGTTGGGGTATTGGGGACTAGTAGCGCTTGGGGTTTAGGGTTTACTCTGAAACTGCCTAAATCCCTCGGCAAAAACTTGAAATCGGCAAAACCCCTAAACCCCCCGAAACCCGGAATCCTAACATCCCCGAAGCCCCCAAACCCCGGCACCCCTAAACTAAACCAAAAGCGACAGAAAGACCCGACACTCCCCAGAAGAGGCCTCCAAGACGTCCACCAGCCGACGTGCGCGAGGCACGAGGAGGCTGCGGAGTGAGGCCAGGGCTTGGCGGGGCCTCGGGTTCGCGAAGGAGCTTTGGGGGTGTTCGGGGTTTTGGGGCTCTGGGGTTTTGGGGTTGGGGGTTGGGGCGTTCGGGGTGAATGGTCGAAGAAGAGAAGGATGAAACTACAATTGCGACTGCGCAGACTAGACCAAGAAGATTCCGCACACGAAAGGTGAAGCGGTGACGGGGAGCGTTGGTACGGACGGCCATACCAACATTCACAACAACATTCAGTTAGCAGGATGGAGCATGTCAGCTAATGCCGCAAAGGTTCATGATCCGGAAATCCAGGTGGGAGTTCGGAAAGGGACCCCAAGATAGACACAAACTCGTAAGCTCCTGCAAAATATGGAACCCTGAGCGAGACTTATTCGAACAAGCTCTCCGATCGTGCCCTCCTTCTCCTCCTCCTCCTCCAAACCTGAAGATCTAAAGCGCAGGGCCTTCCTGCAAAGTTTAGGTTTTAGGGTTTGGGTCCTAGGGGCATTGAGGAAGTCCGGTCTGGAGTCTGGGATCTCACGCTGACCCGGAGAATGGAAGCCGGGGCCGCAGCAACAAAGGCTTCTCCAAGCAGTGCCATTGCGTAGAGTCTCGCAAGCAGCCGCGAGACTTGAAAAGACAGAAATATGTAGGGTTTAGGATCCCTGATGGTCATGTACAGTCCTATTTCTATCCCGGCAGAACCCTGTCAACGTCACTTCAAGATCCCCGGAGTGCAGTCGGCACACCTCGAGAGCCCCAAAACACGCCTTTTTGAAGCAGACTATCACACGCCACAACAAACCTATGTATAATGTAAGGTCTACCGCTTACTTTAGGTTTGCACGAATTTGAGCTCATTGAACACCCGAAAACCCCCGAGCCTTCTCGGGACTTGTTTGGGGAAGCTGCTCCCTGCGCAGGAATTACCTGGCCGTCGCATGACGAAGGGGCGGATGCCGTTTACTAACCCCTGAGACATAGAGTGCATAGGTGGGAAGCTAGATGGGCTTCTGGACACCTGAATACTGCAAGGCCCTTCAAGTTCCAGCGCCACATCTTCATGAGCATTTCAAAGGCATGAGCTCTGCCCCGCACCCCGCATCTTCGAAGACCAAAAGTGATGAAAGCCAGGCCGGTATCACCCTGGTCAGGTTCTGACGGTATGATCTCCTTAGGCAAAGGTTTGTTGTAGGGCATGTAGGGCTCGCAGGGCTTATTCAGCTTACAGGGTTTTAAGGGAGTGGAGTCGAGGGGCTTAAGGCTTTGGATTGCAGGCTGGGTTTTCAAAGCTTGCGGCTGTCTGGGCTGCAGGTTTTTGGGATCGGGGCTTTGGTTTTACTTCCAGGATTGCGCTTGTAAGCGCGAAAAAGCTTGAGGACTAGTTTAAACATGACATTGTTTCCTAGGAGTCCTTATGAAAATTCTAGTAGGCTCTACCCCAACGCCCACTCGAACTGTTTAGGCGCCAGTATTCAGCCGCCATGAGGCCGTCGGCAGCAAAGGATTCAGGCTCGAGAAGACCCCGAATCTTCGGCCCATGTTTTGGGGTTTCAGGGTTTGGGGTCTCGATTTTGAGAGTTTAGGGTTTAGAGTTGGGGGCTTTAGGGTTTTCGGGGTTTAGGGTTCAGGGCTCGTTGCCACCACTAGGAGTTCACATCAGATCCGTATACTTAAACCCCTATTACGGTCACTTAGGCTACGTCGGTGATCTCCGAACCTTGGGCTATGGAAGCCGAGGGGCAGCAACCGGTGCACCCGTGCAGCGCCTCCGTCACGAATCGAGCCGCTAAAGAAAAGGGCAGCACAGGCGTCCGATTGCGTCAGTGGTGAGGACTTGGGGTTCAAAATGGCGGTCCCATGAAAAACTCTATAAAGTTCGGTGCTTGGGGCTTGGGGTTTTCATGAGTGTCCTTTCGGTGTTTCTCCAAAGAGCTCTACAAGGGGGGGGTTGACCTGGCTTTCGATCATTCGAGGAGAATTGTCAGAGATGCCAAGCCCCCTATTGCAGCCACTTGCGCCCGAAACCAACAAGCTAACAGTGACAATACTCCAATTATAACAACGACCTGACAACTATTATTATCGTTATCATTATCATTCTTGTTATTGATATTACTGCGACTAATGTTGTTATCATGATTTTGTGCAGTAGTCGAAGTAGTAGTAGTAGTAGTAGTAGTAGTAGGGTGTCCCCCCCCGGT